GATAAACTACAATTATCTATATTTTAATTGAATAATGATAATTCAAACAGTTGATCTCTTCAAAATATTAGTTATTGTGTTGATTTCTTTGGATATTAGACGGTGGTGAAGGTATAAAAGAGTTTAGTTTTGCAGAATGAACTTATTGATGATTTTGGTACGTAACAGTCATCTGTTTGTGAATTATAGATATAATTACCGGATTTTGTCTATAACTATTGCAAGCTTAGCATCTGATCGACCCTGAATACCCACCTAAACAGCAATGCTTCTAGAAGACGAACTGATTTATTTTTCTTAAAGCCCTAAAAAAAGCCGAGCAGATGACAACAACAATGTACTGTGAACATATCAAAGTTCTTGGCATGGAGTTTCACAGCATTATTGAGATGCTGCAGCATCTTCAAATAAAAACAGGCATGAAGCCAAATAGCCATCGCTCGGCCTTCCTAATTATCCGATTTTCATAGAGAAATTTATTGTATGGAAAGGAGGCCATTCTACGTTGTAAAGTCCAAACAAATACAAGTTAGTTTTCTCCAGTTGTCTTACCTTCTTTTTAATAAATTGTTGTTTCTTCTGCAACAAAAATCTTTTGAAGCAAGTACGTCATGGAGGTTTCTTCAGATTCAATGAAGACCACCCAACTGGTCTCAAGCCAAAAAGGAGGCCTTAGGACCATGCCTTTTATCATAGGTAATCTCTGATTATNCTGTAATGGAGTCCATGGAGGTTTCTTCAGATTCAATGAAGACCACCCAACTGGTCTCAAGCCAAAAAGGAGGCCTTAGGACCATGCCTTTTATCATAGGTAATCTCTGATTATACTCCTTATTTGATCAGAACTTAGTTCTCTTTTTTAAAAACTAAAACGTGTTTTTAAAATATGAGGATTGTTTCAAAATTCAAAGCCTAAAAACTGAACTGATCCTCAAGTAAACATGAATGATTTTGATGTTANTTAATGTAAATTTTGAAAGCAATAAGCTGCCAAAGAGACTCATTTTTTGTGTGTGAACCGCAAACCAGATACTCAAATATCTGAAATTAATACGCCAAATGGACCTATGAAATTAAAAAAATAATAAAAAATCATTAGAGAGAATGAAAGCCAAAACAATGTGTATATTTGCCAAAATTGAGATTTTTAATTTATGTGTAATTTTGTGGTGGTGTTTTAGGCATTTCAACAAACACCTAATGTGCAAGATCAGCAGGTGGCTAGTAGTCGTTAGGGGGGAAGAGGGCGGGTTGGTGGCTGTGTTTTGGTAGTTTTGGTTACTGGCTCAAGGGGTGATTTGAGATTGCGGGTTGGGTGGTGGAAGTTTGATTTGGGCAGTTCTATGTGTGTGTGTGAGAGAGAGAGAGAAAGAGAGTTAGATACATGTGAGGAGCAGAGGCATTAATATTCCAAGATCACAACCACTCAACACAAAAAAAAAAATGTAATGCTCTGACAGAAATAACAAAAACGCAGAAATTAACCATTAAATCGAAAAACTATTTCCAAGAAATTAAAGCAATAAGTAACAGATCAATGGTGTAGCAATTATTATCTCATTCCAACGCTTAATGGTGTAGCTACTGATCACTTGATTGCAATGCTAACAATATACTTTTATTTGAAGATGCTTATCTAAATATTATTCAATTAACGGATCACCACGCCAGGCTATTCACGACACCATTATATTCCTTGAATGAATCGACTTCAATGGGACATGGTTGTGTTGTTGGATGCTCACATACTACTTTTTCAAAGCATTTCAACAAACAAGTTATGTGTAGGAAGGGGGTAGATTTGTTGCTTCAAATCTATGAGTGAGGTTGTGCGAAGAGTGTGTGTGTGTGTGTGTGTGTGTGTGTGAGAGAGAGAGAGAGAGAGAGAGAGAGAGAGAGGGATGGTGCATGGCGTTGATGGTGGCGGTCCTAGTTAACGGTTTGTGCGTCGTCGAAGTGGGTAGACAGAAAAGTGCAAGGGAAAGACAAAAAGAAAATGAGACAGGGGCGAGAGAGAAAGAGAGGGAGGTACCAGTTATCAGTCATAGAGGCTTCAATATCGCCTCTCAAATCCACCATTAAATCGGATCTTCCAATTGTTTCTGCGGCTTCCATAAACGATCTGCAACAACGCCTTCTTCAAGACTCCCTCCTCCATCCAGATCCACTTCATTAGTGTGTTCTACAGATACAAAGAGAGGGTGAGCGTAAAAGAGATACAAGTGTGAGATTACGGGATTCGGAATTGAGATTGGCAGAAGATTTGAGATTGGGAGAGAGAGGCAGAAGCGCGATTAAGATGGATCCATAAAAGAGATTTTAGGATGAGTTTGGAAGGCATGAGAGAGAGAGAGCCAGCCAGAAAAATTGGCCTGATAATTGAAAAAGTAAACTCTATTATTTGGCGGAAAAATAAAATTTAGTACTCACTATAGATCGTCAGATCAATATTTATGAGATGATCTGAATCGTCTTTTATGTTAAAATTATGTTGCCTATTAGATGTGTTTATGTTTTATATGATTTGGACCTCTCTGTGTCTCTAAAATTTAAACTTAATTCTACTTTATTATATAGATATAATTATATGTAACTATATTACTAATAAATGAGTTCAAAAGAATTTAAAAATCTTTATAAAAAAAAGTCCAAAACTAGTTGAAAGTTAAATAGGTATAAAAAAATAAAAATTAGGTGGGTATAATTGACCTTATTATAATAATTAAGGATAAAATAGAAAATCAAATGCTGATAGAATTTAAAAAAGTTTATAAAAGAGTCTAAAATCAGTTGAAAATCAAATAAGCATAAAAAACAAAAAATAGATGGGTATAGTTGACCTTATCTTAATAATTAGGGATAAAATAGAAAATTAATAATAAGGGATAAAATAGAAAATCAGATGCTAATAGAATTTGAAATTTTTTTATAAAAGAGTTCAAAACCAGTTGAAAGTCAAGTAAGTATAAAAAAACAAAAATTAGGTGGATGTAATTGACCTTATCATAAATCTAAAGTTTTTCGTAGATGCTAACTTTTATAGATATAGATGGATATAAATATAGATAGATTACTAGGGATAATCCGTGATTTAAGAAACAGTAGAATGTGAATGATTTTGAAAGAGATGTTGATAGCTGTTAAATGAATTTATTTGAGATCATCGAATGAACTTATCGAAACCTGTTTTGTTTTATATTATAAATTTCTTTATAAAACTCTTAAATTTTAGGATTTTTTTTCATATTATAACTCTCTCTCTCTCTCTCATTTATATATATATATATACAAAGACACATACCCAATAGGTATTAAAATTAAATGAGAGAGTGAGTTAATGAAAATATTTATATTGTCGTGGATAAAAGGGATGTGATTATAGGTTTTTTAATCCAATTAAACAACCGCGGCATTGTTTTGAAGGGTAGTGTAGTCTTTTTTTTTTTCTTTTTAGTGGACTTCTTTTTAAAATAGTTTCCTTGATCAACTTAAACAGTAATAAATCTAGTTAAATGTATCGGCCTCCGAAGGACCCTAGAGAAAAAGAAAGAAAAATTCTAAAGAAGAAGACCATAAGGCCATTAGGAGCACCCCATTGGCAATCCAATAAACACCTATTAAAACAGGATCGGTATGTTGTGGCTCATATTAAATTATTTTATTTCTTGATGCGAGATTTTAATACGAGCGACCACCTACCAATCCCGTTCTAAATGAAGCTCACATGTGGGTTCCAACGACCCCCGTTCCATGTGGGTTTTATTTTAATCGATGCTCTTGGCGCATTTTTCATGAAATGGCCACTTCAAGGAGAAGAAGCGCTAATAAGTTTTTTACAAGCTCAAAGAGTGTATATTGAGAAGAATTAGCAATGGGGAATGGGTAAATGACTAGTTCAGAATTAGAAAATTTTGGGCTCTAGATAATATTTTAAAATTTTTGAATATTTTTGCAAATTGACCCCACTGAAAAGTTATAGGTATAGTTATATATGTTAGGAGACCACGAGAGTGTGTTTCATAAATATAACATTATATTAGGAGAACACCTTTTGCCTCTTGGTCCTGACTTTTCATTCATTTCTTCAAACTCCCTTTCTTTCTTTGTTATGAATCGATAGTTCCTCCATTCAATCAAATTTTGCTCTCTTTAGTCTACCTCTGTTCTTTTTTTATGTTTTCCTTGTCTTTAATCGATCCTCTTTTTGTTATCAATTCAATCGTTATTTAACTAGTCGATTGCGAAAATTGCTGACAGCTTAGAAAATTCTATGAGAGTTATCGTAAGAGGTAACTCTTTCAAATTTTTTTGTATTTTTTTGGCATGGCGACTAGGGTTTCTACCCATTTGGTTTTTTTTACCTATTTCATTTTTTGCCTAACAGTGGATGATAAACTACAATTATCTATATTTGAATTGAATAATGATAATTCAAACAGTTGATCTCTTCAAAATATTAGTTATTGTGTTGATTTCTTTGGATATTAGACGGTGGCGAAGGTATAAAAGAGTTTAGTTTTGCAGAATGAACTTATTGATGATTTTGGTACGTAACAGTCATCTGTTTGTGAATTATAGATATAGTTACCGGATTTTGTCTATAACTATTGCAAGCTTAGCATCTGATCGACCCTGAATACCCACCTAAACAGCAATGCTTCTAGAAGACGAACTGATTTATTTTTCTTAAAGCCCTAAAAAAAGCCGAGCAGATGACAACAACAATGTACTGTGAACATATCAAAGTTCTTGGCATGGAGTTTCACAGCATTATTGAGATGCTGCAGCATCTTCAAATAATAACAGGCATGAAGCCCAATAGCCATCGCTCGGCCTTCCTACTTATCCGATTTTCATAGAGAAATTTATTGTATGGAAAGGAGGCCATTCTACGTTGTAAAGTCCAAACAAATACAAGTTAGTTTTCTCCAGTTGTCTTACCTTCTTTTTAATAAATTGTTGTTTCTTCTGCAACAAAAATCTTTTGAAGCAAGTACGTCATGGAGGTTTCTTCAGATTCAATGAAGACCACCCAACTGGTCTCAAGCCAAAAAGGAGGCCTTAGGACCATGCCTTTTATCATAGGTAATCTCTGATTATACTCCTTATTTGATCAGAACTTAGTTCTCTTTTTTAAAAACTAAAACGTGTTTTTAAAATATGAGGATTGTTTCAAAATTCAAAGCCTAAAAACTGAACTGATCCTCAAGTAAACATGAATGATTTTGATGTTATTGTGTAAGAATTATGTCATAACTTATATATACTTGTAATTTGCATAGCAAATGAGGCATTTGAAAGGGTTGCAAGTGTTGGGCTTCATGCAAACATGGTCCTGTACCTGAGAAATGAGTATCACTTTGATAATGCTACTGGAGCAAGCATTTTGTTTGTGTGGGGAGCCATGTCAAATTTCATGCCCATTTTAGGGGCTTTTCTCTCTGATTCGTACTTGGGTCGGTTTCGTGTGATTGCCTTGGGGACAGTTGTTACACTATTTGTAAGAAAACACCAACTTCCCTGAATTTGATTTTTATTTTGAATTCATCAATGTATTATATATCAGGAAAAGATAACATCAATTCACTGGCAAAATACACAGGGAATGGCTGTACTGTGGCTAACAGCCATATTGCCAGGAGCAAGGCCTCCTCATTGTGATCAAGATTCAGACATTTGTGCCAAATCAAGGCCAGACCAGCTCGCGCTTCTGTTCTCATCGTTCGCCCTCATGGCGATTGGAGCTGGTGGCATTAGGCCATGTTCTTTAGCCTTTGGTGCAGATCAGTTTGACACCCCCAATAACCCGAAAAACGAGAGTATCTTGCAAAGCTTTTTCAACTGGTACTATGCTTCTGTGGGAATTTCTGTACTAATTTCAGTGACTGTTATAATTTACATCCAAACTGAAGCAGGTTGGGTTGTGGGTTTTGGGGTTCCTGTAGTCGTTATGTTGTTATCTACTATTCTGTTCCTCTTGGGTTCTAAACTTTATGTTAAGGTGAAGGCAAATAAGAGCTTGATGGTAGGTTTCCTCAAGTTATAGTGATGGCTTGGAAGAACAAACACCTTGCTTTCCCAACAAAGAATTCTGATGGATGGTACCATCACAACAAGGGTTCAAAACTCGTTACACCAACAGAAAAGCTAAGGTATTTAGCATCACTATCATCATCACGTCGTGTTATCTTTTCAAGTCAGTAAAAATTACTTGCACTGGATCGTGTCATATTAAAATTTTGATGTCTTGATACAGGGATATAATAAACTAGAAATGTTTGGCTGTATCTCTAAGTTAGTGGCCTCAAGTATACAATAAAATAGCTCCTTAAATGGAGCAGAATATGAGTAATTAGGCAACTCCTGTTATAGATAATATGGTGATATGGTGGTGTAAGTAGAAAAACTGGAAATGAAAACAAGAAGATGGAGTCTTCAGGTAAAGCACGTCAATCACTAGTTTTGAGAAAGTAATTTTCCCACTTATGATGTAGATGGATTTTGAAAATTTTATCTCCAGGATACAATGACTAACTTTAAGATTATCCAAAACTGTACTTCATAATAATCTTGAAACTANCTAGTTAACGGTTTGTGCGTCGTCGAAGTGGGTAGACAGAAAAGTGCAAGGGAAAGACAAAAAGAAAATGAGACAGGGGCGAGAGAGAAAGAGAGGGAGGTACCAGTTATCAGTCATAGAGGCTTCAATATCGCCTCTCAAATCCACCATTAAATCGGATCTTCCAATTGTTTCTGCGGCTTCCATAAACGATCTGCAACAACGCCTTCTTCAAGACTCCCTCCTCCATCCAGATCCACTTCATTAGTGTGTTCTACAGATACAAAGAGAGGGTGAGCGTAAAAGAGATACAAGTGTGAGATTACGGGATTCGGAATTGAGATTGGCAGAAGATTTGAGATTGGGAGAGAGAGGCAGAAGCGCGATTAAGATGGATCCATAAAAGAGATTTTAGGATGAGTTTGGAAGGCATGAGAGAGAGAGAGCCAGCCAGAAAAATTGGCCTGATAATTGAAAAAGTAAACTCTATTATTTGGCGGAAAAATAAAATTTAGTACTCACTATAGATCGTCAGATCAATATTTATGAGATGATCTGAATCGTCTTTTATGTTAAAATTATGTTGCCTATTAGATGTGTTTATGTTTTATATGATTTGGACCTCTCTGTGTCTCTAAAATTTAAACTTAATTCTACTTTATTATATAGATATAATTATATGTAACTATATTACTAATAAATGAGTTCAAAAGAATTTAAAAATCTTTATAAAAAAAGTCCAAAACTAGTTGAAAGTTAAATAGGTATAAAAAAATAAAAATTAGGTGGGTATAATTGACCTTATTATAATAATTAAGGATAAAATAGAAAATCAAATGCTGATAGAATTTAAAAAAGTTTATAAAAGAGTCTAAAATCAGTTGAAAATCAAATAAGCATAAAAAACAAAAAATAGATGGGTATAGTTGACCTTATCTTAATAATTAGGGATAAAATAGAAAATTAATAATAAGGGATAAAATAGAAAATCAGATGCTAATAGAATTTGAAATTTTTTTATAAAAGAGTTCAAAACCAGTTGAAAGTCAAGTAAGTATAAAAAAACAAAAATTAGGTGGATGTAATTGACCTTATCATAAATCTAAAGTTTTTCGTAGATGCTAACTTTTATAGATATAGATGGATATAAATATAGATAGATTACTAGGGATAATCCGTGATTTAAGAAACAGTAGAATGTGAATGATTTTGAAAGAGATGTTGATAGCTGTTAAATGAATTTATTTGAGATCATCGAATGAACTTATCGAAACCTGTTTTGTTTTATATTATAAATTTCTTTATAAAACTCTTAAATTTTAGGATTTTTTTTCATATTATAACTCTCTCTCTCTCTCTCATTTATATATATATATATACAAAGACACATACCCAATAGGTATTAAAATTAAATGAGAGAGTGAGTTAATGAAAATATTTATATTGTCGTGGATAAAAGGGATGTGATTATAGGTTTTTTAATCCAATTAAACAACCGCGGCATTGTTTTGAAGGGTAGTGTAGTCTTTTTTTTTTTCTTTTTAGTGGACTTCTTTTTAAAATAGTTTCCTTGATCAACTTAAACAGTAATAAATCTAGTTAAATGTATCGGCCTCCGAAGGACCCTAGAGAAAAAGAAAGAAAAATTCTAAAGAAGAAGACCATAAGGCCATTAGGAGCACCCCATTGGCAATCCAATAAACACCTATTAAAACAGGATCGGTATGTTGTGGCTCATATTAAATTATTTTATTTCTTGATGCGAGATTTTAATACGAGCGACCACCTACCAATCCCGTTCTAAATGAAGCTCACATGTGGGTTCCAACGACCCCCGTTCCATGTGGGTTTTATTTTAATCGATGCTCTTGGCGCATTTTTCATGAAATGGCCACTTCAAGGAGAAGAAGCGCTAATAAGTTTTTTACAAGCTCAAAGAGTGTATATTGAGAAGAATTAGCAATGGGGAATGGGTAAATGACTAGTTCAGAATTAGAAAATTTTGGGCTCTAGATAATATTTTAAAATTTTTGAATATTTTTGCAAATTGACCCCACTGAAAAGTTATAGGTATAGTTATATATGTTAGGAGACCACGAGAGTGTGTTTCATAAATATAACATTATATTAGGAGAACACCTTTTGCCTCTTGGTCCTGACTTTTCATTCATTTCTTCAAACTCCCTTTCTTTCTTTGTTATGAATCGATAGTTCCTCCATTCAATCAAATTTTGCTCTCTTTAGTCTACCTCTGTTCTTTTTTTATGTTTTCCTTGTCTTTAATCGATCCTCTTTTTGTTATCAATTCAATCGTTATTTAACTAGTCGATTGCGAAAATTGCTGACAGCTTAGAAAATTCTATGAGAGTTATCGTAAGAGGTAACTCTTTCAAATTTTTTTGTATTTTTTTGGCATGGCGACTAGGGTTTCTACCCATTTGGTTTTTTTTACCTATTTCATTTTTTGCCTAACAGTGGATGATAAACTACAATTATCTATATTTGAATTGAATAATGATAATTCAAACAGTTGATCTCTTCAAAATATTAGTTATTGTGTTGATTTCTTTGGATATTAGACGGTGGCGAAGGTATAAAAGAGTTTAGTTTTGCAGAATGAACTTATTGATGATTTTGGTACGTAACAGTCATCTGTTTGTGAATTATAGATATAATTACCGGATTTTGTCTATAACTATTGCAAGCTTAGCATCTGATCGACCCTGAATACCCACCTAAACGGCAATGCTTCTAGAAGACGAACTGATTTATTTTTCTTAAAGCCCTAAAAAAAGCCGAGCAGATGACAACAACAATGTACTGTGAACATATCAAAGTTCTTGGCATGGAGTTTCACAGCATTATTGAGATGCTGCAGCATCTTCAAATAATAACAGGCATGAAGCCCAATAGCCATCGCTCGGCCTTCCTACTTATCCGATTTTCATAGAGAAATTTATTGTATGGAAAGGAGGCCATTCTACGTTGTAAAGTCCAAACAAATACAAGTTAGTTTTCTCCAGTTGTCTTACCTTCTTTTTAATAAATTGTTGTTTCTTCTGCAACAAAAATCTTTTGAAGCAAGTACGTCATGGAGGTTTCTTCAGATTCAATGAAGACCACCCAACTGGTCTCAAGCCAAAAAGGAGGCCTTAGGACCATGCCTTTTATCATAGGTAATCTCTGATTATACTCCTTATTTGATCAGAACTTAGTTCTCTTTTTTAAAAACTAAAACGTGTTTTTAAAATATGAGGATTGTTTCAAAATTCAAAGCCTAAAAACTGAACTGATCCTCAAGTAAACATGAATGATTTTGATGTTATTGTGTAAGAATTATGTCATAACTTATATATACTTGTAATTTGCATAGCAAATGAGGCATTTGAAAGGGTTGCAAGTGTTGGGCTTCATGCAAACATGGTCCTGTACCTGAGAAATGAGTATCACTTTGATAATGCTACTGGAGCAAGCATTTTGTTTGTGTGGGGAGCCATGTCAAATTTCATGCCCATTTTAGGGGCTTTTCTCTCTGATTCGTACTTGGGTCGGTTTCGTGTGATTGCCTTGGGGACAGTTGTTACACTATTTGTAACAAAACACCAACTTCCCTGAATTTGATTTTTATTTTGAATTCATCAATGTATTATATATCAGGAAAAGATAACATCAATTCACTGGCAAAATACACAGGGAATGGCTGTACTGTGGCTAACAGCCATATTGCCAGGAGCAAGGCCTCCTCATTGTGATCAAGATTCAGACATTTGTGCCAAATCAAGGCCAGACCAGCTCGCGCTTCTGTTCTCATCGTTCGCCCTCATGGCGATTGGAGCTGGTGGCATTAGGCCATGTTCTTTAGCCTTTGGTGCAGATCAGTTTGACACCCCCAATAACCCGAAAAACGAGAGTATCTTGCAAAGCTTTTTCAACTGGTACTATGCTTCTGTGGGAATTTCTGTACTAATTTCAGTGACTGTTATAATTTACATCCAAACTGAAGCAGGTTGGGTTGTGGGTTTTGGGGTTCCTGTAGTCGTTATGTTGTTATCTACTATTCTGTTCCTCTTGGGTTCTAAACTTTATGTTAAGGTGAAGGCAAATAAGAGCTTGATGGTAGGTTTCCTCAAGTTATAGTGATGGCTTGGAAGAACAAACACCTTGCTTTCCCAACAAAGAATTCTGATGGATGGTACCATCACAACAAGGGTTCAAAACTCGTTACACCAACAGAAAAGCTAAGGTATTTAGCATCACTATCATCATCACGTCGTGTTATCTTTTCAAGTCAGTAAAAATTACTTGCACTGGATCGTGTCATATTAAAATTTTGATGTCTTGATACAGGGATATATTAAACTAGAAATGTTTGGCTGTATCTCTAAGTTAGTGGCCTCAAGTATACAATAAAATAGCTCCTTAAATGGAGCAGAATATGAGTAATTAGGCAACTCCTGTTATAGATAATATGGTGATATGGTGGTGTAAGTAGAAAAACTGGAAATGAAAACAAGAAGATGGAGTCTTCAGGTAAAGCACGTCAATCACTAGTTTTGAGAAAGTAATTTTCCCACTTATGATGTAGATGGATTTTGAAAATTTTATCTCCAGGATACAATGACTAACTTTAAGATTATCCAAAACTGTACTTCATAATAATCTTGAAACTAAAACTCAACCCGAATATAGAAAAACAAATAGTATGGAAGTTTAGAATGAGAAAGAAGAACCGAGTAAATATCTTAATTTTAGAATTGCAACTAAACTCTATTAATAGAGTTCTATACATCACTTCGNCAAAACTCAACCCGAATATAGAAAAACAAATAGTATGGAAGTTTAGAATGAGAAAGAAGAACCGAGTAAAAATCTTAATTTTAGAATTGCAACTAAACTCTATTAATAGAGTTCTATACATCACTTCGTGAAGAAATATGTCTCTTCATTTCAATGACAAAAGACACTACTTGAAAGGATTAAACTTTCGTAGGCGTTGAAGAAAAACTCCAAACAAAATTTGAAGATTAACTATTGCATCCAAACAGACTTGGGCGACCGAACGGACCCAACTCTCAGTATTTGTCATACTAAGTGTCTGCCAAACTACTGGGAGTAATGCGCATTCCAACAGACAGTTGCGTCCGGATGCCACCTCCCTCTTTTTTATATCATCTTCTTCTTCTTATTTATATATATTGCAACTCCCCGGTTATTGATTTGTTTTGCTCTCCTGATCAGGTACTTAAATAAAGCCTGCATAATTAAAAATCCAGAGAAAGACTTAAACCCTGATGGCTCAGCTTTAGAAAAGTGGTGTCTATGCACAGTTCAACAAGTAGAAGAACTCAAAGCACTCATCAAAGTACTGCCCATCTGGTCCACTGNCGCTGATAGAATTTAAAAATTTTTATAAAAGAGTCTAAAATCAGTTGAAAATCAAATAAGCATAAAAAACAAAAAATANTGCTGATAGAATTTAAAAAAGTTTATAAAAGAGTCTAAAATCAGTTGAAAATCAAATAAGCATAAAAAACAAAAAATAGATGGGTATAGTTGACCTTATCTTAATAATTAGGGATAAAATAGAAAATTAATAATAAGGGATAAAATAGAAAATCAGATGCTAATAGAATTTGAAATTTTTTTATAAAAGAGTTCAAAACCAGTTGAAAGTCAAGTAAGTATAAAAAAACAAAAATTAGGTGGATGTAATTGACCTTATCATAAATCTAAAGTTTTTCGTAGATGCTAACTTTTATAGATATAGATGGATATAAATATAGATAGATTACTAGGGATAATCCGTGATTTAAGAAACAGTAGAATGTGAATGATTTTGAAAGAGATGTTGATAGCTGTTAAATGAATTTATTTGAGATCATCGAATGAACTTATCGAAACCTGTTTTGTTTTATATTATAAATTTCTTTATAAAACTCTTAAATTTTAGGATTTTTTTTCATATTATAACTCTCTCTCTCTCTCTCATTTATATATATATATATACAAAGACACATACCCAATAGGTATTAAAATTAAATGAGAGAGTGAGTTAATGAAAATATTTATATTGTCGTGGATAAAAGGGATGTGATTATAGGTTTTTTAATCCAATTAAACAACCGCGGCATTGTTTTGAAGGGTAGTGTAGTCTTTTTTTTTTTCTTTTTAGTGGACTTCTTTTTAAAATAGTTTCCTTGATCAACTTAAACAGTAATAAATCTAGTTAAATGTATCGGCCTCCGAAGGACCCTAGAGAAAAAGAAAGAAAAATTCTAAAGAAGAAGACCATAAGGCCATTAGGAGCACCCCATTGGCAATCCAATAAACACCTATTAAAACAGGATCGGTATGTTGTGGCTCATATTAAATTATTTTATTTCTTGATGCGAGATTTTAATACGAGCGACCACCTACCAATCCCGTTCTAAATGAAGCTCACATGTGGGTTCCAACGACCCCCGTTCCATGTGGGTTTTATTTTAATCGATGCTCTTGGCGCATTTTTCATGAAATGGCCACTTCAAGGAGAAGAAGCGCTAATAAGTTTTTTACAAGCTCAAAGAGTGTATATTGAGAAGAATTAGCAATGGGGAATGGGTAAATGACTAGTTCAGAATTAGAAAATTTTGGGCTCTAGATAATATTTTAAAATTTTTGAATATTTTTGCAAATTGCCCCCACTGAAAAGTTATAGGTATAGTTATATATATTAGGAGACCACGAGAGTGTGTTTCATAAATATAACATTATATTAGGAGAACACCTTTTGCCTCTTGGTCCTGACTTTTCATTCATTTCTTCAAACTCCCTTTCTTTCTTTGTTATGAATCGATAGTTCCTCCATTCAATCAAATCTTGCTCTCTTTAGTCTACCTCTGATCTTTTTTTATGTTTTCCTTGTCTTTAGTCGATCCTCTTTTTGTTATCAATTCAATCGTTATTTAACTGGTCGATTGCGAAAATTGCTGAGAGCTTAAAAAATTCTATGAGAGCTATCGCAAGGTAACTCTTTCAAATTTTTTTGTATTTTTTGGCATGGCGACTAGGGTTTCTATCCATTTGGTTTTTTTTACCTTTTTCATTTTTTGCCTAACAGTGGATGATAAACTACAATTATCTATATTTTAATTGAATAATGATAATTCAAACAGTTGATCTCTTCAAAATATTAGTTATTGTGTTGATTTCTTTGGATATTAGACGGTGGTGAAGGTATAAAAGAGTTTAGTTTTGCAGAATGAACTTATTGATGATTTTGGTACGTAACAGTCATCTGTTTGTGAATTATAGATATAATTACCGGATTTTGTCTATAACTATTGCAAGCTTAGCATCTGATCGACCCTGAATACCCACCTAAACGGCAATGCTTCTAGAAGACGAACTGATTTATTTTTCTTAAAGCCCTAAAAAAAGCCGAGCAGATGACAACAACAATGTACTGTGAACATATCAAAGTTCTTGGCATGGAGTTTCACAGCATTATTGAGATGCTGCAGCATCTTCAAATAAAAACAGGCATGAAGCCAAATAGCCATCGCTCGGCCTTCCTAATTATCCGATTTTCATAGAGAAATTTATTGTATGGAAAGGAGGCCATTCTACGTTGTAAAGTCCAAACAAATACAAGTTAGTTTTCTCCAGTTGTCTTACCTTCTTTTTAATAAATTGTTGTTTCTTCTGCAACAAAAATCTTTTGAAGCAAGTACGTCACTGTAATGGAGTCCATGGAGGTTTCTTCAGATTCAATGAAGACCACCCAACTGGTCTCAAGCCAAAAAGGAGGCCTTAGGACCATGCCTTTTATCATAGGTAATCTCTGATTATACTCCTTATTTGATCAGAACTTAGTTCTCTTTTTTAAAAACTAAAACGTGTTTTTAAAATATGAGGATTGTTTCAAAATTCAAAGCCTAAAAACTGAACTGATCCTCAAGTAAACATGAATGATTTTGATGTTATTGTGTAAGAATTATGTCATAACTTATATATACTTGTAATTTGCATAGCAAATGAGGCATTTGAAAGGGTTGCAAGTGTTGGGCTTCATGCAAACATGGTCCTGTACCTGAGAAATGAGTATCACTTTGATAATGCTACTGGAGCAAGCATTTTGTTTGTGTGGGGAGCCATGTCAAATTTCATGCCCATTTTAGGGGCTTTTCTCTCTGATTCGTACTTGGGTCGGTTTCGTGTGATTGCCTTGGGGACAGTTGTTACACTATTTGTAACAAAACACCAACTTCCCTGAATTTGATTTTTATTTTGAATTCATCAATGTATTATATATCAGGAAAAGATAACATCAATTCACTGGCAAAATACACAGGGAATGGCTGTACTGTGGCTAACAGCCATATTGCCAGGAGCAAGGCCTCCTCATTGTGATCAAGATTCAGACATTTGTGCCAAATCAAGGCCAGACCAGCTCGCGCTTCTGTTCTCATCGTTCGCCCTCATGGCGATTGGAGCTGGTGGCATTAGGCCATGTTCTTTAGCCTTTGGTGCAGATCAGTTTGACACCCCCAATAACCCGAAAAACGAGAGTATCTTGCAAAGCTTTTTCAACTGGTACTATGCTTCTGTGGGAATTTCTGTACTAATTTCAGTGACTGTTATAATTTACATCCAAACTGAAGCAGGTTGGGTTGTGGGTTTTGGGGTTCCTGTAGTCGTTATGTTGTTATCTACTATTCTGTTCCTCTTGGGTTCTAAACTTTATGTTAAGGTGAAGGCAAATAAGAGCTTGATGGTAGGTTTCCTCAAGTTATAGTGATGGCTTGGAAGAACAAACACCTTGCTTTCCCAACAAAGAATTCTGATGGATGGTACCATCACAACAAGGGTTCAAAACTCGTTACACCAACAGAAAAGCTAAGGTATTTAGCATCACTATCATCATCACGTCGTGTTATCTTTTCAAGTCAGTAAAAATTACTTGCACTGGATCGTGTCATATTAAAATTTTGATGTCTTGATACAGGGATATATTAAACTAGAAATGTTTGGCTGTATCTCTAAGTTAGTGGCCTCAAGTATACAATAAAATAGCTCCTTAAATGGAGCAGAATATGAGTAATTAGGCAACTCCTGTTATAGATAATATGGTGATATGGTGGTGTAAGTAGAAAAACTGGAAATGAAAACAAGAAGATGGAGTCTTCAGGTAAAGCACGTCAATCACTAGTTTTGAGAAAGTAATTTTCCCACTTATGATGTAGATGGATTTTGAAAATTTTATCTCCAGGATACAATGACTAACTTTAAGATTATCCAAAACTGTACTTCATAATAATCTTGAAACTAAAACTCAACCCGAATATAGAAAAACAAATAGTATGGAAGTTTAGAATGAGAAAGAAGAACCGAGTAAATATCTTAATTTTAGAATTGCAACTAAACTCTATTAATAGAGTTCTATACATCACTTCGTGAAGAAATATGTCTCTTCATTTCAATGACAAAAGACACTACTTGAAAGGATTAAACTTTCGTAGGCGTTGGAGAAAAACTCCAAACAAAATTTGAAGATTAACTATTGCATCCAAACAGACTTGGGCGACCGAACGGACCCAACTCTCAGTATTTGTCATACTAAGTGTCTGCCAAACTACTGGGAGTAATGCGCATTCCAACAGACAGTTGCGTCCGGATGCCACCTCCCTCTTTTTTATATCATCTTCTTCTTCTTATTTATATATATTACAACTCCCCGGTTATTGATTTGTTTTGCTCTCCTGATCAGGTACTTAAATAAAGCCTGCATAATTAAAAATCCAGAGAAAGACTTAAACCCTGATGGCTCAGCTTTAGAAAAGTGGTGTCTATGCACAGTTCAACAAGTAGAAGAACTCAAAGCACTCATCAAAGTACTGCCCATCTGGTCCACTGGCATCGTGATTGCAGTAACCACCAGCCAACACTCCTTTCCAGTTCTCCAAGCCAACACAATGGACAGAAGCTTCATAAAAAGTTTCCAAATTCCACCAGCCTCATTAGGCGTGTTTGCAATCCTCACTTGGACAATTTGGATAGCCACCTATGATCGAATACTAGTTCCCAGGGTTTCAAAGTTCACCGGAAGGCCTCGTGGTTTCAGCCTGAAACAACGGATGGGTATCAGGCTATTTCTCTCTTGCATAGCCACCCTAGTATCAGCATTGGTGGAGAGAAGCCGACGAGGGTGAGCAATCGATGAAGGATTGGAAGAAAATCCAAATGGCATCATAAAAATGTCAGCAATGTGGTTAGTGCCACAATATTGCTTGATTGGACTTGCTGAAGCTTTCAATGCAATTGGGCAGATAGAATTCTACTATACTCAGTTCCCCAAGAGCATGGCTAGCATTGGAGTGGCTCTTTTTGCACTGGGCATGGCTGTTGGAAACTTGGTTGGGAGTCTCATAGTAAAAATTGTGAATGATGTTTCTAAAAGAGGAGGGAATGTGAGTTGGGTTTCAAATAACCTTAACAAGGGTCACTATGACTACTATTATTGGGTCCTCACCATTTTGAGTATGGCAAATTTCTTGTACTTCTTTCTGTGTAGTTGGGCTTATGGTTATGAGGAAACAAAGGTTTGGGATGATAGGGATGGCATTAAGGAGGAAGACAATGCCAAGCCTAAGGAATCTCCCTTAGTAGACGTTGTCAAGTCCAAGGAATCTCCCATGATGTATTCTATTTAAGGGTCCAGTTACAATACCAAAGTTTTTGGCGCCGTATTTTTATTTTTTATTCAATAAAAACTTGACACATAGTTTATTTATTTTGTTATTACTTTATTATTTTGTCAATTAATCGTTATAAATCATNTAGATGGGTATAGTTGACCTTATCTTAATAATTAGGGATAAAATAGAAAATTAATAATAAGGGATAAAATAGAAAATCAGATGCTAATAGAATTTGAAATTTTTTTATAAAAGAGTTCAAAACCAGTTGAAAGTCAAGTAAGTATAAAAAAACAAAAATTAGGTGGATGTAATTGACCTTATCATAAATCTAAAGTTTTTCGTAGATGCTAACTTTTATAGATATAGATGGATATAAATATAGATAGATTACTAGGGATAATCCGTGATTTAAGAAACAGTAGAATGTGAATGATTTTGAAAGAGATGTTGATAGCTGTTAAATGAATTTATTTGAGATCATCGAATGAACTTATCGAAACCTGTTTTGTTTTATATTATAAATTTCTTTATAAAACTCTTAAATTTTAGGATTTTTTTTCATATTATAACTCTCTCTCTCTCTCTCATTTATATATATATATATACAAAGACACATACCCAATAGGTATTAAAATTAAATGAGAGAGTGAGTTAATGAAAATATTTATATTGTCGTGGATAAAAGGGATGTGATTATAGGTTTTTTAATCCAATTAAACAACCGCGGCATTGTTTTGAAGGGTAGTGTAGTCTTTTTTTTTTTTTTTTTAGTGGACTTCTTTTTAAAATAGTTTCCTTGATCAACTTAAACAGTAATAAATCTAGTTAAATGTATCGGCCTCCGAAGGACCCTAGAGAAAAAGAAAGAAAAATTCTAAAGAAGAAGACCATAAGGCCATTAGGAGCACCCCATTGGCAATCCAATAAACACCTATTAAAACAGGATCGGTATGTTGTGGCTCATATTAAATTATTTTATTTCTTGATGCGAGATTTTAATACGAGCGACCACCTACCAATCCCGTTCTAAATGAAGCTCACATGTGGGTTCCAACGACCCCCGTTCCATGTGGGTTTTATTTTAATCGATGCTCTTGGCGCATTTTTCATGAAATGGCCACTTCAAGGAGAAGAAGCGCTAATAAGTTTTTTACAAGCTCAAAGAGTGTATATTGAGAAGAATTAGCAATGGGGAATGGGTAAATGACTAGTTCAGAATTAGAAAATTTTGGGCTCTAGATAATATTTTAAAATTTTTGAATATTTTTGCAAATTGCCCCCACTGAAAAGTTATAGGTATAGTTATATATATTAGGAGACCACGAGAGTGTGTTTCATAAATATAACATTATATTAGGAGAACACCTTTTGCCTCTTGGTCCTGACTTTTCATTCATTTCTTCAAACTCCCTTTCTTTCTTTGTTATGAATCGATAGTTCCTCCATTCAATCAAATCTTGCTCTCTTTAGTCTACCTCTGTTCTTTTTTTATGTTTTCCTTGTCTTTAATCGATCCTCTTTTTGTTATCAATTCAATCGTTATTTAACTAGTCGATTGCGAAAATTGCTGACAGCTTAGAAAATTCTATGAGAGTTATCGTAAGAGGTAACTCTTTCAAATTTTTTTGTATTTTTTTGGCATGGCGACTAGGGTTTCTACCCATTTGGTTTTTTTTACCTATTTCATTTTTTGCCTAACAGTGGATGATAAACTACAATTATCTATATTTGAATTGAATAATGATAATTCAAACAGTTGATCTCTTCAAAATATTAGTTATTGTGTTGATTTCTTTGGATATTAGACGGTGGCGAAGGTATAAAAGAGTTTAGTTTTGCAGAATGAACTTATTGATGATTTTGGTACGTAACAGTCATCTGTTTGTGAATTATAGATATAGTTACCGGATTTTGTCTATAACTATTGCAAGCTTAGCATCTGATCGACCCTGAATACCCACCTAAACAGCAATGCTTCTAGAAGACGAACTGATTTATTTTTCTTAAAGCCCTAAAAAAAGCCGAGCAGATGACAACAACAATGTACTGTGAACATATCAAAGTTCTTGGCATGGAGTTTCACAGCATTATTGAGATGCTGCAGCATCTTCAAATAATAACAGGCATGAAGCCAAATAGCCATCGCTCGGCCTTCCTACTTATCCGATTTTCATAGAGAAATTTATTGTATGGAAAGNTAACAGGCATGAAGCCCAATAGCCATCGCTCGGCCTTCCTACTTATCCGATTTTCATAGAGAAATTTATTGTATGGAAAGGAGGCCATTCTACGTTGTAAAGTCCAAACAAATACAAGTTAGTTTTCTCCAGTTGTCTTACCTTCTTTTTAATAAATTGTTGTTTCTTCTGCAACAAAAATCTTTTGAAGCAAGTACGTCATGGAGGTTTCTTCAGATTCAATGAAGACCACCCAACTGGTCTCAAGCCAAAAAGGAGGCCTTAGGACCATGCCTTTTATCATAGGTAATCTCTGATTATACTCCTTATTTGATCAGAACTTAGTTCTCTTTTTTAAAAACTAAAACGTGTTTTTAAAATATGAGGATTGTTTCAAAATTCAAAGCCTAAAAACTGAACTGATCCTCAAGTAAACATGAATGATTTTGATGTTATTGTGTAAGAATTATGTCATAACTTATATATACTTGTAATTTGCATAGCAAATGAGGCATTTGAAAGGGTTGCAAGTGTTGGGCTTCATGCAAACATGGTCCTGTACCTGAGAAATGAGTATCACTTTGATAATGCTACTGGAGCAAGCATTTTGTTTGTGTGGGGAGCCATGTCAAATTTCATGCCCATTTTAGGGGCTTTTCTCTCTGATTCGTACTTGGGTCGGTTTCGTGTGATTGCCTTGGGGACAGTTGTTACACTATTTGTAACAAAACACCAACTTCCCTGAATTTGATTTTTATTTTGAATTCATCAATGTATTATATATCAGGAAAAGATAACATCAATTCACTGGCAAAATACACAGGGAATGGCTGTACTGTGGCTAACAGCCATATTGCCAGGAGCAAGGCCTCCTCATTGTGATCAAGATTCAGACATTTGTGCCAAATCAAGGCCAGACCAGCTCGCGCTTCTGTTCTCATCGTTCGCCCTCATGGCGATTGGAGCTGGTGGCATTAGGCCATGTTCTTTAGCCTTTGGTGCAGATCAGTTTGACACCCCCAATAACCCGAAAAACGAGAGTATCTTGCAAAGCTTTTTCAACTGGTACTATGCTTCTGTGGGAATTTCTGTACTAATTTCAGTGACTGTTATAATTTACATCCAAACTGAAGCAGGTTGGGTTGTGGGTTTTGGGGTTCCTGTAGTCGTTATGTTGTTATCTACTATTCTGTTCCTCTTGGGTTCTAAACTTTATGTTAAGGTGAAGGCAAATAAGAGCTTGATGGTAGGTTTCCTCAAGTTATAGTGATGGCTTGGAAGAACAAACACCTTGCTTTCCCAACAAAGAATTCTGATGGATGGTACCATCACAACAAGGGTTCAAAACTCGTTACACCAACAGAAAAGCTAAGGTATTTAGCATCACTATCATCATCACGTCGTGTTATCTTTTCAAGTCAGTAAAAANCGATTGACTAATTCAAAAGAACAATATTATTAGAATATAATTTATTGATTTAATTTATCGTGATCTTTGAATTTATTGTAGACTTCATTAAATATTAGAACATAGTGTTAATCTAATGATTACTATAAAGCCACGTCATTATATTAATAAATTAAGTCAAATTTTTAAATCCAAATAATATTACTCCTAATTCAAAAGACAAGGCATATAGTTATAGAATAACCACATCCTCCTATGTGATTTAAGAAAAAAATATTGGATGTAATTGTTATAATATATCAGTAGTGTCACATAGTATAATAATTCATTAATATGTAAATAAATCAATCAATGGATCTCACTAAAACCAGCGTTTTAAAACCCGACCCGACCTGGATCGACGGGTCAACCCAGTGAATCGGTCCCCTAACCGGTCTGGGTCTATGTAAGGAACCCGGACTAAACCGTTGAACCGGTCAAAAATCGGTAAATCCATGAGAACTTGACGATTTTAACAAATCGACCGGTTTAATTTCATTCTATAAATATGAGATTTTTTTTTCATTTGGGCATTTTTCCCCCTTTTGTTTTACCCTAATTCGTTCCATCGGCTGAGCAGTGAGCAACGCCTCCACCACCAACCAGCGAGCAGACCAGCCTCCTCTCTAGCACCAACAGAAATCAGACCAGCGACCAGACAACCTCCACTCCAGCACCAACAGCTATCAGACCAGCTGATGGGACATTTTCAGACACTCCAAGATAAGCAACACGTGTCAAGAGAAATACTCTGATGTGGTCACGACACGTGCTCGTCGAGCCATGATCCCCCCCTTCCCCCGAGGAGGGTACTAGGCATAAGGACCTACGACACCAGTATGCACGGGGGGGTCGACACATGTTCCTCGGTCGAATAGGGGGGCACGTCGGTCCCTAACCATACTAGGCCCTCGGCACCGAGGTGTATCTACTACATCGGCGTTCTGTTTCTGCAAGGTTGTTGATAGACAGGACATCAACCTAGGCTAGTTTAGATTAACCATCATGATCTGGTCCTACCTAGATGGTGTCAGAGCACACAGGAAAGCAGATGACTCAACCAATGGGGAGCCGACGCGTGGCATACTATGTCAGTTCAAGGACAAAAAGACCATAACGCCCTTGCTAACACACGACTTGGGAAAACAAGTATTTAATGCACCTTTCCTTGATAAGACAGCATTTAACGCGTGATAACAAGGAAGTGAAAGGCAATAAATGCTCCTGTGACTAAGCATTTAATACACCTCTGCCGAGTGAGGGTCATTAAATGTTCGACAAGCCGAAGGTGATACATTGGTTACTCGGGGTCCCGAGCAGTTAAGAGAGATGTCATTTCTCCTGAGAACCAATATTCAAGTTACCCACCTCTAATGATCACCTACTGACCACACTGACAGCAATCATGAGTTTTGAAGGTATAAATATCTCTCACAAAAGGCAAGAAGGTGCGGCAAAACCTTTTCTTAAACCTATACATAGTATTTTCTTCTTCCCCTCTCTCAAGGAATTGACTTGATCGTCGGAGGAAATACGCCGAAAAATACTCCGGCACCCTCCTAACTCGTTTTTCTCTGTTTCAAGAGTCTCCCTCAGCCTTACTGGACCGCTCCGACGACCCACAAAAGTCACTCATTATCGTTCCAGGCTACTACCCGTCCTCACAATCTGTTCCAAGCAGCAAGGTTGACCATTCGATTAACTGACTCGTGTTCACCACGAGAGAGATCTATTCTCGTGTTTATATTGTACAAGATCCTACACGCACACCAACCTTCACTCCAACCCCAGCAGCGACCAGACCAAATCCAGTGAGTTTCCCTTTCTCTCTCTCTCCCCCCTTTTTCTCTGTCTATTTTTGCGCTTCAATCCAGCACGAGGTTGAAATTTTTTGTCATGGTCCTCAACTTGATGTAGCTGACTTTTTTTCAACAGATACAACACCTGTGTCTATGGAGAAAGATGGTATATATTTTACATTAAGCATTTTCAAAGCCTGTGTCATTGCTACACTGGTAAAATGACGTTCAGGCCGTTATATTTTTCCTTTTTTCGTAGAATATGGAACATGTGAGTGTACAGAAAGATGTTAAAATTGGTTTGATCGTTGTCTCAATTCATTCACCGTCGGTTTTGTTTTTAAGTAATAATCGTGGGCACTAAAATTCGACTCCCTGTAATATTGTTATCCTCTGTATAGTTCATGCACTTAAAAAACTCTGCTTTTTCCCATATAAGCAGTGATAGGATTGCTTAGTATACTTTAAGAATTAGTCAGCTTGCAGAAAAATGATGCTGGTTTTTGTATTTCAGGTTTGCATTTTTGCTTATGGTCAAACTGGTTCGGGTAAAACCTATACAATGATGGGCAAGCCAGGAGGTCCTGATAAGAAAGGGCTGATACCACGCTTCAATCCAGCACCTGCAGAGGTATTTTTCTCTACTTATATTGAAAATTGAATACATTGAAATTGNAATTTGAATTGTCTATATCACGAAAACATAATTTTAACATTTCTGTTTCCAAAGGAAATTCTTAGGCTCCGTTTGAATGGAGGTAATCTTAGTTGAGAATAATAATCTCATTTATAATTTTATGAATTACCATATTCGGGTTGTTAATAAAATTATTATTGGAATAAAATCTCTAATGATAGTGAAAATTTTAAACCCACCATCAATGGTGGTAATCTCTTTTTTTTTTTTTCGAAAGGTCAATGGGGGTAATCTCTCACACCCAACTTAATTGGGTATTCTAAAAAAAGGAAGAAAAAATCAAATTCAAAGTCCTTTCTAAAATTTAGCTTGTTTTTAAAATCAAGCTATTTTCCTAAAATTAGTTATTTCCTAAAATAAAGTTCATTACTAAAAATATTAATGAAATATATATCAATTCCTATACCAGATTACTACAATACCAAATATTAAATAAAAAATTACTACAATATTTGAAACTCATGTATCACTTTACTAAAAATGAGATACTTAGAATTACTTGATTTTAACATTGTTCCAATGTCTATACAGGTGTTTTATTTGATTGCCCATTTGCTCAATCAAAAACATTACTTTTTTAGCTTTCATTTAGATGTAAGTAATACAGACTTGACTATGGTACTAAAAAAAATTGTATTATACCTTTAATTACTATATTTATCATTATTTTTATTATATTTATGAATCATTTTATCACTGTTGTGGTATCTCAAAAATAATTACAACAACAATAATAAAAATATTTATAAATGTGGTAAAAATACCCACAAATATAATAAAAATACCCGCAAATGTGATAAATTTTTGTGTATTAAACAAAAGTGATAAAAATAGTTATAAAAAATGTGATAAAAACACTCTCAACAATAATAAAAGCACTCATAAAATAGTAAATTATTCACAAAAATAATAAATTTTTTAATTATAAAATGACCCACAAAAATTATTAAAATATTTATTAAAGTGATAAAAATAAAAAATACGGTATCCAAATTTATTTCTTTGGTATCCAAGTCAATTCCAATAAATACTTGTTTGGCTATTAATTTCGCCAAACAAGTTGCTTTTTGCCCAAGCTGATCACGATTGGATTTGACTACTTAAACCGTCAACATTCAAAGTAGGAGACTTCGTACAGCATTCTTTGCCCTTCAACAAAAGCAGAGATTTGAGTAATTGTTTGGAAGTTTATGGATAAGTTAATTTTTTCTTTTTTCTATATCCTACCATCAATCATTAATTTGTATGGTTAATTTATAAATTTTAAAGTCAAGTTACAATTTTTGGAGTCTTAAAAATCGACCTTAAAATATTTTGGATCAATATTCAAGTATTAAGATCGATCCTAAACACACATCTCAAAAAATTATAACACGTCCCAAAAAGAATTATAACATTTTATTGCAACTAAACTCCCAAAAATTATACATTTACCCATAAAATTTGTTAATTTAGGTATTATTACCTTTTCTTTGTTAACAGACAAAAATATTTGAATCAATTTACGGACTTTCGATCAATTCCCTCGTTATCTGATCAAAACTAAGGTCATTCGCACCTACTTTGCTCTCTTAGTCAAAAATCGAAAGTTTTAGGATTTTATATTGACAAGTGGCTAATTATGGAAACAATTGACCTTCAATCACATGGAAAACTCTCGTAAGCATTTATGGGGTGGGGTCAGAAGTCAATTTTATTTTATTTTATTTTTTAATTTCATGTGTATATAAAAGGAATCGAAACAGATCTGTCTGACTTAGGAAAGCGGATTGACTAATTCAAAAGAGCAATATTATTAGAATATAATTTATTGATTTAATTTATCGGGATCTTTGAATTTATTGTAGACTTCATTAAATATTAGAATATAGTATTAATCCAATGATTACTATAAAGTCACATCATTATGTCAATAAATTAAATCAAATTTTTAAATCCAAATAATATTACTCCTAATTCAAATGACAAGGCATATAGTTATAGAATAACCACATCCTCCTATGTGATTTAAGAAAAAAATATTGGACGTAATTGTTATAATATATCAGTAGTGTCACATAGTATAATAATTCATTAATATGTAAATAAATCAATCAATGGATCTCACTAAAACCAGCGTTTTAAAACCCGACCCGACCTGGACCAACGGGTCAACCCAGTGAACCGGTCCCCTAACCGGTCTGGGTCTATATAAGGAACCCAGACTAAACTGTTGAACCAGTCAAAAATCGGTAAATCCACGAGAACTGGACGATTTTAACAAATCGTCCGGTTTAATTTCATTCTATAAATATGAGAATTTTTTTCATTTGGGCATTTTTCCC